TGGTCTATCTAGTACACGGGTAGGCAACCTTGGCTCTTTTATGACTCGTGGACTTCAACTCCCAGAATTCCTGAGCCAGCCACGCTGAGGGAAAAGGGAGAGGTTTCCATGCTGAGCCATGCTGGCTCAGGAATTCTGGGAGTTGAAGTCCATGAGTCATAAAAGAGCCAAGGTTGCCTACCCCTGATCTAGCATGTTCTTACCTGGAATTTTTGATCATCCTCTACTTCCGGGAAGTAAGGAGAAGAAAGATTAGAAGTCTTGCTTTTTAGCTGTTGCTCTTTCTTTTTAGAATATCATCCCTTTAGAATTAAAAGAGTTGCTCCACTCCTTTTCATGAGCTGCTGGAAACGGAACTTTCCTAAAAAGTATTTGATTGGACCACTTGCTCCCATCATCTTTGATCGATTAAAGTCAGAGTATTTTTATTGAGCTGATTGTTATCGTTTTAAAAGTAGTCCTCGACTTCACAACAGTTTGTTTAGTGACTAAAGTTACGACAACACTGAAAAAAGTAACGCATGGCTGTTTTTCATACTTGCGACCGTTGCAGCATCCCAGTGGCCACGTGAACAAAATTCAGATGCTTGGCAACTGACTCATCTTTATGACGGTTGCAGTGTTCCGGGGTCACGTGATCCCCTTTTGCGACCTTCTGACCAGCAAAAGCAATGGGGAAAGCCAGATTCACTTAACAACCGGCTTCCTAATTTAACAACTGCAGTGATTCATTTAGTCACTGTGGCAAGAATAAAATGGGGCAAAATTCACTGAACTAATGTCTCACTTAGCAACAGAAATGTCGGGCTCAATTGTGGTCGTAGGTCGAGGACTACCTATGTACTCTTACCAATGGGCTGGTGTCTAGCCAAGACACTTCTTTTCACAATATGAGTGTCACATGGATGAGTCATTGATGCATTGGTAGCCAAGCACCAGATAACAGAATAACAGAGTTGGAAGGGACCTTGGAGATCATCTAATCCAATCCGCTTCTCAAGCAGGGCACCCTTAGAGAATTACAGACTAACAAGAGTTGGAAGGGGCCTTGGAGGTCTTCTAGTCCAACTCCCTGCCCACCCCCAACCATTCCAGACAAGTGGCTGTCCAAAATCTCCAGTGTTGGAGCACCCACAACTTCTGAAGCCAAGTCATTCCTTTGATTAAGATGCAGCCCTTCAACACCAACAACTTGCATGGACCATTTGTGGCTCCATATTTTTAGAATTATATATTATTGAAACAACATTGGCCACTGGGCTTAACCTCTCCGAAATGTTGATGATTTGAGTTCTGCTGCTTTTATCGTATGGTAGTATTTTCATTTAATCCTATCGGTACAGTTAGGAAATGGAGACAGATAAATCAAGAAACCAGCAGAGGGAGCAAAACATCAGGCATTGTCTGGGGACCTCTTTGTAAGAGACGGCTGGGTTTTTCCCGGGTTTCTAATATAGAATGAGTTCAATAAAGGAGAATATTTGTAGTTCAGGGTTGAACTGTGGAGTCCTTGGTGCTCTCTGAGCTTGCTTCTTTTCTTGCAGCCATTTCATTACCTAACTATGTAACATCATCAGTGGCCATAAGGAGTGTGGTTTGCTCAGTTTATCTTCTAGGCTAGGGGATTGCCCTGTCAGTATTGATGGAAGTGGTCTTAGAGGTTATTTGGTTGGGCTGTGTACCATTTGCTTGTTAGAAATTCTGTTTATATACAGCAGCACAGATCAAACAAAGAGTGCAGTCACCATGTGCTTTACTGCTTACCTACTTTAAACTGTAACAGGAAACAGGAAATGACTTAGAACAAAGAAGGAGAGTGTATACCATAGATCCAAACTTGTAAACACTGCCATCTACTGGCTGAATACTACTGCTGTAGTTGTTGCACAAAAATACATTCCAACAATCAATTCCAACAGTTTGGCAGTTCCTTGACTGGGTTATTATTTATTTCTTGCTTGTTGGTCTGATGTGAGAGACAGAGATGAGATGGTTATGCCCCATCTCAGCTGCTGTAGGGGGCAAACATGCTTGGAGTACAGTTGAGCTGATTCCAAAGATATGACCCATGGATTTTATAATAATAATAATAATAATAATAATAATAATAATAATAATAATAATAATAATAATAATAATAATAATAATAATAATAATAATAATAATAATAATAATAATAATTAATAATAATAATAATAATAATAATAATAATAATAATAATAATAATAATAATAATAATAATAATAATAATAATAATAGAGTTGGAAGGGACCTTGGAGGTCATCTAGTCCAACCCCCTGCTCAGGCAAGAATCCCTTATCTAACATTTCTCCAGGAAGCATGGTAGCAGATCTATAAATACAGTTTCAGAGGGTAGTTCCAAATTCAGATATGGATCCAGGGTTTCATGTGATAACATTCTAGCTCAAAGGAGTGAAGCTGTTCTAAAGACAATGACATAGCAAGATTTTTTTTTTAAAAAAAAAAAACATATCTGGAGAGGAAAAAATAAACCCCGGATACCACAAGGCACATAAGGCTGGTTCATGCTAACACAAAGGTGTCTAAACTTGGCAACTTTAAGACCTGTGGACTTCAACTCCCAGAATTCCCCAGTTAGCCAGCCATGCTGGCTGAGGGATTCTGGGAATTGAAGTCCACCAGTCATACAGTTGCCAAGGTTGGATACTCCTGTAGTAACAAATATCAGACAGAGTCATCTCTATCAACGTGTCACTTGACAGCAATCTTTTTTTTTTAGCTAAATAGCTACATAACTACAGAATTATGTTCTCCATCACTGTTCCTATGAAACACTTCTTCGTAATACATTGAAAGTTTTTGAGCACTTCCACGCTCCTGAAAGGTTCTCCATGCATCTGAAAGGTTCTCCATGCACCCAGTGAGATGTTTTGAGGCTAGGTTGTATATATATATTGTGGGAAGTCAGCCCCCCCCCCAGAGAAGAAAATATTGAAAGGGCAGAATATATTTCCCTAAAGGATTTTAAAAGCAGAAACCCCCAAGTCTCTCTGTGCCAAGCAAAAACCAAGTCTGCAGAAATGCAGATAATCTTGTCAGAAAGACTGGAGTCAGGAAGCTGGGATTAGGAAGAAAGATCCCTAGAATCAACAACCCCTCACACTAAAAATCTAAGAGTCATCAGCCCCAGCCCCAGGGAAGCAGGATATGACCCTTGGGACATAATAGGATTAACCCACCACCATCAGAATACCAGAAAGGCACACTCAGACTCAGGTCAAAATACATGACACAGGAAATACAAAGCCTCAAACAGGAAATTACTCCAAACAAAAGGCTCCAGAGGGTATAAAAAACCACTCCCTACATGCGCTAACCTTTTTTCTTCCAGAGCCTTCTTTCTGTCTGACTCTCCTCTCAATAAACTGCAACCTTCTTTCTAAAGCAGTCACCATGTTGTTTTCCCCCGGCTTGGACTGAACCATGATGACTTTTCCTTCAACAATATAAAAATGCTAAAATGTGCAAAGACCTCAGTTTTACATCTTCCACTTCTTTGATGACCTCCTGGCGACTCAGTGATAACTTAAGGAGAGCAAATCCATGGTTAGTTTTTTTTTTTAAAAAAAAAACTTTAATAATTGGACAAGCCACACTGTATATTAAAGGATCTTTTATTATTATTTAGTATGATCTCTTTCTTTAAGTCACAAAATATTCAGGAAGTATCTGGACAGCAGAATTCATGGACAGCTGAAAGTATTCAATATAAAGATTAATATCCTACCCTCGCATTTTGATTTTAAGACAGCTTTTTCTCCCCACTCTGGCAGGCAGCATTTTTTAAAAAAATAATTTAAGACAGCATAAGCTTATGTCAAGCAGTGCAACTCTCCTCTTCTTCTGCTATTCCTTTTCCAAGGAAATATTTTAATTCGAAGTATTTAACAGGCGTCTTCTACAAAAATAGCATGTGGGAGAATCATTAATTGGATGTATTGAAGAACTATTTACACTAAGCCACACACTTAGGCCATCAAAGACAAGAAAGAAAGGAGACATCTTGGTT